ATTGAGGGAATCAATGAAAAAAAAATGTGAATGAAGGTTGTCTAGCAGTACCAGATGTCAAACTATATTACAGAGTGGTAATCATCAAAAAAAAATCTGATATTGGCTAAAAAAAATAGAGTGATGCATCAATGAAACAGATTAGGGACCCAATACACAGTAGCAAATGACCATAATAATCTAGTGTTTGACAAACCCAAAGATCCAAGCTTTTGGGACAAGAACTCACAATTTGACAAAAATTCTTAGGAAAATTGAAAAGCAGTTTGACAGGAACTACGTATAGATCAGCATCTCACACTGTATACCAAGAAAAGGTCAAAATGGGTACATGATTTAGACATGAAGGATATTATCATAAGCAAATTAGGGGAGCATGGAATATTTTACCAGTCAGATTTATCAGTAAGAGAACAATTTATGACCAAATGAGAGATAGAGAACATAATGGGACATGAAATGGATTATTTTGATTACATTAAATTGAAAAGTTTTTGCACAAAAAAACCAGTGCAGCCAAGATTAGAAGGAAAACAGGAAAATTTTTTAGAGCAAGTTTCTCTGGTAAAGGCCGCATTTCTCAAATACATAGAGAATTGAGACAAATTTATAAGACTATATGTCATTCCCCAATGGCCAAAGGATATGAAGGGTTATAAAACTGTATACACCATGTGATCCAGCAATATCACTATTACGTCTATCCCAAAGGGATTAAAGGGAAAAAAAGGACTTATTTTTACAAAAAATATTTCTAGCAGCTCTTTTTGTGGTGGCAAAGAATTAGAAACTGAGGGGATGTCCATCAATTGGGGAATGCCAGAGCAAGTATGGTATATGATTGTGATGAAATACTATTGTGCTATAAGAAATGATAAGCATGATGCTTTCAGAAAAATATGCTAAGACTTATATAATCTGATGCAAAGTGAAACAAGCAGAACCAGGAGAACATTGTACACATTAACGGCAATATTGTAAGGATGATTAACTATGAATGACTTAGCTATTCTCAGCAATACAATGACCCAAGACAGTTCCAAAGGACTCACGGTGAAAACTGCTATCCACTTCCAGAGAAAGAACTGATGGAATGTGAATGCAGCTGGAAGCATACTTTTTTGCTTTCTTTATTTTTCTTGGGTTTATTTTTGGTCTGTGTTTTCTTTCACAACATGACTGATGTGTTTTGCATGACTGCACATGTATGATCTATATCAAATTGCTTGCCTTCTGGAGGAGGGGGGAGGAGAGGGAGGAGAGGGAGGGAAGGAAGGAGAGAATTGGGAACTCAAAATTTTAAAAAATGAATGTTAATTGTTTTTACATGTAATTGGAAAAAATAAATAAGACACAATTTTTTTTAAAAAACAGTGTTGATTAAGAGCTATATAAAAACATGCTAACAATGAGAGTTTCTTGGCATTTTGGCTGTCTTGACTGAGATGGCCAAGGGAAAATCACATCCAATGCATGAAATGTGTTGGCGACACCATTTATCACACTGCCTCTGGTATCGGCCTTTGCACACAGCTTGATCAGAAATAAATCATCTGTACAAACGGAGTTCCTTATCAAGAGGCATTTTGTATTGACAAGTAGGGTTACTACAAGCTTGGCAATAAAATTGCCCAACGTCCTACTTCTAGCAAGCTGGCTTCATTTAAGGACTCCAGCCTTTATTAGTAGTAGTTGTCAAGGCAGCAGTATTAGTAAAGTGCTACCCAGGAAGACTTTTTTCTATAAAGCATCATTATCTCCCATTTGATCCTTATGCAGTCCTTTCCTAGCTGCACTCACAATCCATTAGAGATCACTTTAAAAAAATTAACTCATGCTTACAAAGGTCATAGAGTTATCTTTGCAGATTCAGGTCCCGTATTTTTCAGACAAATTCTAAGAAGTCATGTAGTGTTTTGAAAACATAAACAGCTTTGAAATCATCATCTAGGCCCTTCTACAGGCTGCTCTTTGCAAATATACTGACCATTTTCTAGATTATCTGTAATTTGTTATGTACAGCTCGAGTAATTTCCGGGGAAAAGGAGGGGCTTGTGGGAAGCGCTGAAATAAGAGCACTGACTACTGAGTTGCCCACACCACAATGAGCTCATTTGTCTTGCTGTTAAATCCACTCAATTAGATGGAAGCTCTCACCCAACAGGATGACCCATAGGAAGCACTCAAGGAGCCTTGCAGAGGAAGGGAGGCAGTTAGTAGCACAGTGGAGAGATTGCCTAGCCTTAAGTCAGCCTCAGGCACTTACTAACTGTGTGACCCTGGGCGAGTCATTTAATGTTGGTCTGCCTCAGTTTTTCCAACTATAAAATGGGGATAAAAACAGCATCTACTTCCCAGTGGGGTTGTGAAGATTAAATGGAAATAATATTTCGAAAGTGCTTAGCAGTGCCTGGCACAGAGTAGGCCCTCATAAATGCCCATTTCTTTCCTTCCTTGCTGACTCCATCACTGAGCCTGCTCACAGCTGCCAAATTGAGGTAGCTTTTATGACCCAGACAATTGGGCCTCAGGGCCTTTGCCCACCACTTGGTCTTGGCTTGGCACTGCTTCACAATATGGGTTTCCAAAGCTACGACCCAGTCGGAAGCTTCCAAATGTCTACACTCAGTATCAATGGGTAGCAATGAGAGAATATACAAAGAAGGTATTCTTTCCATTTGTAACATGGTATCACAAGAATAACATGTAGATTCAACTCAGTGCTCAGGGAAAAAAAAAAAACCACCACTCTGAGTAATTTATAATTAGCACCAAACAGAAAAGCTGAATTGCTTTAATAGCAAGTACTGTTTGCATCATAGAACTGCAGAGGTTGGGGGTGGGGGGAGGATCCTTCCCAAGATGACACTCTACTACATAAATCAACGTTAAAGTAAAAAAAAAATCGCTTGTCTAGAGGTGCCAAATAACTGCGTGTGTGGGGGGGCGTTTACACGCACAGTGTAATAATTTCTTTTAAGCAGGGTAAAGGTAAAATACACATTATGATCCAATACAGATTAGGCTGTCAAAAACAAAAACAGGCATTGCAATTTGATTTTCAATGTGGCCTTCCTTGGGAAGCAGGGCAGCAAGGTGCCTAAATGAATGGAATTGGCAAACACGCCAATACCAGTTCTGCAATTCTCTGGCTACTCTACATGTACTGGTGTTTGTGAGTTCCAACAAAGTCGTTCATGGGGTTATGGGGGAGGAGGGGAGGACTCCAAAGGCCCTCCTCCCCCCAAGTAACAGTGAAACAGCTCGTTGTTCCCTACAGCACCTGCTACAATGAAAAGGGCCAGGATACTAAATGCCCTTTACAGTCTGGCACAAAAGCTAATTGGCATAACTGGACTATACAAACTCCTCTGGGCCAGGCCTTCAAACTCCCTCAAGCAGCTCAGAAGCCTCAGGGAAAGGAGCCTTAGGAAGTAAGCTTACTAAATAAGCCCTGGGCCCCCTCCCATCTGCATTGCTAGGAAACCACTTTACAGCCAGACAACGTGGCCCTCTGACCTGGAGTCAGAGATTGGGCAGCTACAGGGGACCTTCGCTAGTTTCCACAGACAGGGAAATGGAGGCAAAGAGAGAAGAGACTTGCCCAAGTCATTAAGGGACTGCAGATGTAGGGCTGACTCCTGATCTAGTCCACCTGCCAAATGGTGGCTTGTGGGGCTCTGTCACCTTCCAACTTGGGGTGCCCAGGGCTCTGCATACTGGAAGTGCCTGCTCCATGTTTCCTGACTCACTGAATGACGTGGAAGAGGGCTTAGAATGTGCTCTGGTCCCCCAGAAAGGCTCACTCGAATAATTCTTAGTGGGAAAGACAGCTGTAAGTAAGCACATGATCAGACTGTCCTCCCTGACCTCCTTTGCAAAGATTTCTTAAAAGACAGTTTCCTTCTGTATTTGTATTCTTCAATATTTGAAAACCTGATGTGTTAGAAACATTTGGAAAACAGAATCTGGCCAATGAAATAACTAGCAAAACTGAAAAGATTTTGTAGAGAATGACAGCTGCTGTCTTTTCCAATTAAATGCTACTCTCAGTTAACATCTCCTGATTTCCCAGCTCTGCTCTGAACACTAAAGGTGCTCAAAGAAAAGAACTTTGGGGCATCAAAAGACAGCTACAGAATGCTACAAAGTTCTCCCTGGGTAGAGGATTCCTATTCACCAAGGGACAGCATGAGCACCTATGTGGCCAACATATGGACAGAAAGACTGATCGCTGATGTCAAAATTTAATAAAAACAAAGTTATGTATGGCATCCTGTCACAACAAGCCATTCAGTTCAGTGACAAGTGACATTAAGAAAAGGTCACCTCTATTCATATTCATTCTGTAGTCTCCTTAGCCATTAAAAATGCTCTGAAGATTCTTTTTTTAATGTCCCATAGAATAGGTAAATTACCATATAAAGAAAATAACTTACTCTTTCGAACAAACTCTATTCCAAGACAAAATTATGAAAGCACCCCCATTTGAAAAAGATCTGTTTTGATATAAACAGATATGATGATAAAAAAGAAGAAAAAAGTTTGGCATCATGAGTCCCTCCCCCTGCCCCTGTCACCAGCAGTCCACAACCTCTGACCTCACCAAAGTCTATTTCCCCTGGTTCCCTAATTGGTACTGATGTGGGTTGAGGGAGTTGCTGAGATACCTTGAGGCACTGAACTTCCCATAAGGGAGCAGCACAGGCCTGGGGCCAACATGCACCATTAATGCCTTGGGGTTATTGAGATGCTTAGTTGTTTATAGGATGCATTGCTCCCACTGGAAGATGAGTTCCTTCAAGCAGGGACCATATTTTGTTTTGTCTTATATCCCCAATGGCTGACACAGTGATTTCCACACAGTAGGAGCTTAATAAATACTCATTAGATTATTTCAGATAGGATTGGATGAGAGTTGGAAATACAGAATTCAAAATTATTTTTACCAAGACCAAATGATATCAATTAAGATTAAAAAAACCCCAAATTACTTCTACCTTATAATCCAAGAGAGAACTCATTTGCTCCACTTCTGAATTACTTATCATATCACTTTCTTCATCATCAATTATTTCGATTTTCTGCAACATAAGGAGAAAAGTGCTAATAAATGCATATGGTTATTGCTACTTGTACACACCCCTTCCCAGCATAAGCATATACAATCAATTTTTGATTATCTGTGTGGGGATTATCCACTCTGGATAACTGGAATAAGCTCTGAGTTCTAGGCTGGTCTCTTTGTACCATGGTAGACCATTTCCCTGTACCTTTCATCAATATGTGCCAAAAATGGAAAATCATTTTAACATTAAGATAATTGTGGAAGCTCAGGGCTGGTGGGACCCTTGTGGTCATCCAGTTCCATTGTTCATCCAGTGTGGGGACCCCTCCATAGCCTCCTCTCCAGCAGGCTCTCCTTGAATACTTTGAGTACCAGAAAGCTCTCTACTTTGGGCCTCCATTTATTAGTCTGTTAAAGGAGGGAGGCTGGCCAAATGATCTCTAAGTTCCCTCCTAGCTCTATCATATTCTGATACTAAGACAGCCATGTCCCAAGGCAAGCCATTCATTTTTGGACAGCTCTCACAGTTAGAACACTCTTCATACCACTGTGTCAAAATCTCTCTCCCCCTAACTTCTGCTTGAAAGCAGCAGCAACAAGTCGAAGCCGGCCAGAGGCCACTCCAAAGCCAAATATACAGGATTATTATTATCTGTTCTTTTTGACGATCCGTGCCACTGCTTCTTTCTATTAGGCTGACTGACTGTACAACTGAAGGGGGCTTTTAGGATGCAATGCTGAAAAAATGATAATTTGTTTCCCTCAGTGGCCAATAACCACTAAACAAAGAGACGAATAAAAACTAGAAAATACCAAGCTTGGGCATTAAAGTATTTGAACCACAGCACTGCATGCACAATAACGCACTCAAATAAATATTTGCTGAATGATTGAATCTGCCTTTGCCAGAAATCCAAACTGCCAACACAAAAACCTACCCAGAGAGGCAAGTTTGGTAAGAACTGAAATTTCTGGCTTTGGGTTAAACCAAACAAAGGGGTCCTCAGAAATTCAGGGCTAGATCTCTCTCCCTTTAGCACATGAAAAACACAAGTCAAAAAAGCCAACAGCCTCCAATTCTCTCAACCAAACGGAGGACCAAATTAAAGCAAAGCTAGGTCTGGTCACTAGGCAGCCTTTAAGAAAGAGTACATTAACAGCAATATGTCATAGGCGGAAGCCAAAATGAGGCTTCCCACCCAGCAATATATATGGTGATTAAAAGTCATAGGCAAAGTTAGAAAGATCATATTTGATATATTGCCTATGAGGATACAATACCATTATGGGGCTTGTGACCTGAAGGCTTCTGAGTCAATAGGATGGCTGCAGTGAAATTGCTTTCTACTGCTGCCTGGAGATGAATCTAATGTTTTGTTTTCTGTTATAATCACAATAAACTTGGGGCTTAATCATGGAGGCTCTCATCGGACTTTGGAGTTGGTCCTTTTTTTTTTTTTTGGTCTGGATTGGGCTCTGGGAAAAGCAACTGGGAAATTTTCCTGTTGCCTAACCTGTAGGGAGTAGGCATGGGCCACCCTAGAGATTTCAGCCCACAAATAGACATTCTAAGCCTGGGTAATTTGTCATCCATAAATAATTGGGGGCACTAAAAGGGTACAGGCAGAGGCGAGCAACCTTTGAAAGTTTGGAGTTTGGTCTTTGAAAATCAATTGTTCTTGAAAAATTAGGTGCCTAAGTGACTATGAGTCATCCGATGCCATGACTTCATTCATTATCTTCAAATGTCTGCTGCAGAGGAGACATAGTGCTGAGAGAGGCAGGCTCCAAAAGAAGCATTTCTTTAAGGGGAAAGAGTTTTATATCTGTACAGCCTCCGATTGGCATCTTGCAAGGGAACAGAAATCTATAGCATGGCTCTGCTGTTTACGCTGGGGGGAGATTACCTTGTGGAATTTAAGAATGTTATTAACACAATTCATAACAGGGGAAAATCATTCCTACCTACCTGAGGAAAAAAAATACGACTTTCCCTAGAACAAAGCAAAACCATCTTCACTTTTGTTACCCCATTAGGGATTGGTGGATGTAATATTCAAGTGGAAAACAGCCAGAGCTAGCCCCCGCCGGCATCGACACCAGTGAAATCCAATCTACAACTCTACTCCTCGTCTAGAGATTTGTGTATTGTGAGTGTGGAAGTAATAAGCAAAATATTAATGAGGCTGTCCTTTGCATAATGCTTTTCAGTTTACAGAATGCTCTAACGTGCCTTCTCAGTCAATCCTTATAATCTTGTCAGGTTAACAGTACAAGAATTTCTTGTTCTCATTTCCAGGGGGAGATGATACATTTAGAGCTGTAAAGAACCTCAGACACCATCTGATCCCAACCCCTTAATTTCAAAGATGAAGAAACCAAAGGCTGAAGGAGTTAGGTGGCTTGCCCAAGGTCACACAGTGAGGAAGTGGCAGAGGAGGCATTTGAATCCAAGTCCTCTGACTCCAAAGACAGTCCTCTTTCCACTGTCCAATGCTGCTTCCCTAAAAGAAACTGAATGACATGTCCAAGGTGGTCTAGCTAGTAATGGCAGTCAGAACTCAAATGAGGATCACTTCAACTCTAATCCAGTGTTCATCTCAGAAAGGAGGAATGACACTGATATTACACTCTATCTCATGGGCTATCATGAAAAAGTGCTTTCATAGAATCCCAGGATTTGAGAGGTGGAATGGACCCATATTTGAAAGGAACCATCACTATGCTATACTGCCATGAGGTCATCCCTGCCAGGAGGAGGACATTACAGCTCGCATTTGTATCTTGTTTTAAGGTTTGCAAAGCGCTTTACAAATATTATCTTATTTTGTCCTCACAACAACCCTGGGAGGTAGATACAACTGTTATCCCCATTTTAGAGTTGAGAAAACTGAGGCAGTCAGCAGTTTGGTGACTTGACCAGGGCCCACATGAGCTAGTAAGTTTCTGAGGCACATTTGGACTCCAGGCTTCTGACTCTAGGCCTTGTGTGCTCTCCACTGTACCCACCACCTAGAAACCACTACCTCCTCCCAAGGCACCTCCTCCCACTTTTATTTTATTTTATTTTATTATTTATTTTATTTATTTAGTTATTTAGTTATTTTTGCTTAGGGAATCAGGGTTAAGTGACTTGCCCAGGATCACACAGCTAGTAAGTATCAATCCTCCCACTTTTAGACAGCTCTTGCTGACCAAGTTTTTTCTGATATCAAGCTTGAATTTATTGCTTTGTAAAATCCAAACGTTGCTCCTGTTTCTGCTTTTTGGGACCAAACAGAACAAATCTAACCTCTCTGGTGTGATGGCTGCCTTTCAAACACTTGAAGAGAGCTATAATTTTCTTAGTCTTCCTTTTTCCAGAGGAAAAGGCCCAAGTCCTTTCCATCTCTTTTTATGTGTATGACTGAGGCTCAAGGCCTTCTGCCATCCCAGCTGCCTCTTCTTGAGGCCCTCTAACTTAGGTCCTTTTTAAACTAGAGCACCAGAAGTGAACACAATATTACCAACGTGGTCAAACTGGACAAGAGTAGGGAGGGACCATCCCTTGGCCTCTTGCTGGTTAGGCCCAAGTTGCATGATCTTTTTGGGTTGCCTTATCATACCTTGCTGATTTCTATCAAGCCTGCAGTCCACTCAAACCCCCAGATCTTTTCCCAAACCAACTGCCTTTTAACCAGGCCAGTTTACTGAACTCAAGTGTAAGACTTGACATTTACCCTTACTGAAATCCATGTGATATTTAGTTCCTGATCTTGACCTTGTCCTCCACTGTGTTGACTCTCCCTCCCCACCCCCTCCAGCTTTGTGGCATCTGCAGATGTGATGAGCAAACCAAAATGCCTCTACCCAAGTCATTGATAAAAAAGATTAAACCACAGAGATCCTTGGGGCATGCCACTGGATACTTGCCAAGCTGACATTGAATCATCAACAACTACTCTTTGAGTCTAGCCATTCCAAGTTTTCCAAATACATCTAATTGTATTACTGTCTAATTCATATCTCTCCATTTTTTTTCATAAGAATAACATCAGATACTTTGTTAAATGCTTTGCTAAAATCAAAATGAACTAGATACTATGCAAATGTGAGCTGTTACTACCAAATAAAATTGGGGGTGAAGAGGGGCTTTCCTGCAAGGAGGAAAACAACTGACACACTTTGTTCACACATAGGTCTTACTAACTGTTAACAGCTCCGTGTGAAGCCCCTTTGTGATTTAAAAGCAGAAACTTGGAGAGGATAATACATGCCCCTGTGTAACCTGGGCACAGCGGTAGCCAGGTTGCACAGTGCTTAGAGCTCTGGGCTTAGAATCAGGAAGTCTCCTTTTCCTGAGTTCAAATCTGGCCTCAGACACTGATGAGCTATGTGACCCTGGGCAAGTCACTTCACCCTGTTTGCCTCAGTTTCCTCATCTATTAAATGGGCTAGAGAAGGAAATGGCAAGCCACTCCAGTATCTTTGCCAAGAAAACCCCAAATGGGGTCACGAAGAGTTGGACATGACCGAACAATGACAAAACAACAAAAAGCATTTAGTAGATTGTATAAGCTGTATGAAATAACACATAACACACACTCAAAATTGGGGCTACAGAATAATGCGACTGATGTAATTTACAGGGACAGAAAATTATTAAATGGGGGGAGGGAGAGAGAGGGAAGAGAACTTAGTTAGCATGATCCAGGAGGAATCACTTGACTCTCTAGCAATTTCAAGTGTATGTCTATCTGTATATGTTTATGTATGTGAGAGTGACCTTGTCCCATCCAGGGTAACACTATAAGTCAGAGGACTATTTAGGTCTCTTGGTAAAGTGGAGGTCAACCAGGAAGGGAAAGGAACTGGACTTGACTGTTTATAGACTAAAGTATGAGTTCTTTACATTTTCTGTTAGGTTAAATAAAATGTGTTCCATGTATGATGTTTTGCTAGCCTGAGCACTTGACTGGGAGCTAAAGTCCATTTTTCTTCTTTGCAGAGACCAAGGCAAGAGACAGATTCTGACATTCCCAAAGGGAAACTGGGGGAATACATGAGTTTTTATTAAACAGAGGTCACCAAGATTGAACCCAGTCCATTTCAGCCTTGAGTTGTGGAAATGAGCAACACATTATTATTACCCGTTGCAACATTCTAATGGTGAAAATCCAAATGGGGATCAGGGTGAGTCTAGGGAGCAATGTCACATACATTAGAAAATCAGCCTCAGGAGCCATATTTTTTAAAGGTTGAGCACAAACACCAAATGCTGATTTAATGGAACCAAAGCAAATGCACAGGGCTCTTTTCTAATGTGCCTTAGTTTAAAGTTGGGCCTGGAATCTGAATCAATCAATCAACATTTATTAAGTGCCAGGCACTGTGCTAAGTGCTGAATATCTCGATGGCGTCTGGAGAGAAAGAGATAACATTAAAACAATGTTAACACTCTTGCCTAGGATGGGGTTTGGGCAAACTATGCCCCATGAGCCTGCTATTTATTGAGTGTCAAACTCTGACAAATCACAACTTTTCTGAGCCTTGGTTTCTTCACCTATAAAATGGCAATACTAATATTGAAACGACTTGATAGGGTCATTGTGACAATTGAATTAGATAATGTCTGCACTGTGCTTTGTAGCTATAAAGCACCTATATAAATGAGTTATTCTTACTCTTGGTTTAAGGTATAGAGTGGCATAGTGGATAGTGGGCTGGTCCTGGAGCTCGCAAGACTTAGGTTCAGGTTCATCCTTTGCCATACTATGTGACTCTGGGCAATCACTTAAATTCTCAGTACCCTCTATGGCTATAAATCTTAGATGAATTGAAGAGCTTCATTGGTGGGAAACATTCCCACACCAGAAATTCTCCATCCCAAGGAAATCACAGCTCTGGACCTGCCTTTCCGTCTCACCCCCTTTCCCCCAACGACAACAACAAAGACTCTTACTTATATTTTCAAAAGCTGGTTCGATTTATATGTACATACATGAACACAGACTCCTTCTTATTCATCTGCCTCTAATGCTTTTTTTTTCATCATTTCAAACTTTCCTAGGTTGTTAAAGGGGTCCCGCTTCCCTTAGAAAGATGAGAAAGTTCCCAATATACCAAACACTGAGGCTACCTTAAGAACTGATATGATTCAGAGAGGCAGAGGTATGGTCTGTGAGGGAGAACTGGAAGCCAGGAAGGCCTGAATACGAGAGCACTAACAATGGCTTGTTTCATGTTCTTGGGCTTAATTCTGTTTGAATCCTACCATCTGTCCAAAGAGGAGAATTCTGCTGCTTTCCAAGGGTGCTGAAGAAAAACGACTTCTTAGGTGTAAAATGCTGTATGAATACCAAGCATTCATTAGCTATTTACATTTGTGACTCTCTGAAAAGAATAATTTCCGGGACAGAAATGACAACATAAAAAAACTTCCCTTTCTAACAGTGCTGACATTGTCACTGACTGGAAATGTCTGTCCTTTTATGAGCCTGTCACTTGGTTCCAAGGGCATTTCAAAGTGTACATACCACGTTGTCTGTAGACACTGTGCTGGGGTCTTCTTCCTTGTGCCTATTTGCTTCACTGGGCTCTTCTATGGAAATGAAAAAACAAACAAACAAACCTACCATTAGTCATATTCTCAAAGTTCTACTCACAATGTTCCCCAAAGGTGACAGATAATTGCCTGTATCCTTAGAAAAGCAACACACAGGGAAGTCACGTAGATACTGCTTGGGCCTCCATTTTCCCCTCTACAAAAAAAAAAAAAGGGACAGCCAAATTGCTAGAGTATTTCTGGAGCACCATGGCCTGGGGATCTGCTCAACATTTTCAAGGTCTTTGGTTTCATCAGGTGGGGCTAGCTTTCCACTGGCCATTTGTTCTCTAACAGACATTCACCTATTATTTCTTAAGGCTAGGAGGTAGAACTAGATCTCGGGAATTATTTATCTAGCACTGGCAAAGAGTCTTAGCTGTTTAGGGGCATTTTCTAGTTTTGGAGGAACCCAGAACAAGAATTTCATCAAAAGAGATAACTCTGAGAGTAGAAAATCACTCCATCAACCTAGCTCAGCAACTTGTCTGTAAATTACAATCTTGGAGAGTTACTTAGAGCAAAGAAAGGTTAAGTGACTTACCCAGGGTCACACAGCTAGTCTATGTCAGAGATAGGACTTAAACCCAAGCCTTTCAGTCTCAAAGGATGACTCCCTACCTAAAATACCACACTTTTTGTCTCAGGAGTATTAAACAAAGCAACTTTTTGGATGAAACGTTGTCTCCATTGTACAAATGGGAAAACTAGGACAAAGAAAACCTAATTACATCGACTGAATCCTGTTCTTCCAAGGAGGTTAAAATAGCCCATTCCAAATAAGGGCTGTTGATGAGGTATCTCTACCCAGAGGCGAAGCTGAGGGGAAAGGTCCTGGAGGGGAGGGAGCAAGGTGGGGACTGGTACTAATTTGAAAATGGAGAGGTTTTTCTCCATTGGATGGAGTATCCCCATTGAGGAAGCCCTGATCTCCTCCACCACATGGCATAGCACTCTCTCTGTACATGCTTGTGCCAAGACTTCAAGGAACCCCAGATGTCATCAGTGTAGGCATTCTCTGTGCCAGTGTGGCTCAAAGCTCTTCCACACCTGAGCAAAGGATCTCTGTGAATCATAGGAGCTGAAAAAATGTCTCACTTCTTAATCAAGCTTTTGATGAGAAACCCTTCCACACTCTGCAGAGCTAGCTCTTGGACAACACATATACCATCTATTTCCTTGACCCACAGACTGGGCGGAGCTAGTGCTCCACCCATATAATCTTCAAAAACCCACAATCACTTCCCATGGCAAGGCCTTAGAACAGTGGTTCTCAACCTTATTGACTCAACATTCTTAAAAATTGTTGAGGACCCCTCAACCAAGAGGGTTCATGTGGGTTATTTCTAGTAGGGTCATTTACCCTACTAGACATGAAAACATCTAGGTATTATTAAGAAAATAAATTTTGACCTAAAATTAGACCCACCGAAAGGGTCTCGAGGACCCTAAGGGGTCTCCAGACCACACTTTGAGAACTACTACCTTAATAAGCCTTGAGTTGAAGTCATAGGGATTACTTGGATGAATAGAAAGGTATTTAGATTTCTTTAGAGTTAGATATTACATTAGCCTTATTAATCAGCAGCAAAATATTTTTTGTCAGCTCTCTCAAGTTTTTTTTTTCAAGCCTATGACTCCCCAGAAATGGGGAGACAGGTGAAAGACTAAGCTCAAGGCTTAGTGGATGGGAGTTCAAAGTATTTAAAGAGCTCTTAGCAGAATTTTTTAATCAACATATAAGTAAAAGTAAGATAATTTTTGAGGATGAAGAAATTTATCTTGTTAATAATTTTTACATTTCAAAGCCTATTTAATCAGCAACCTTATAAGAAGAAGGGGTGGGCAAGGTGTCATCAGACTTAGCAGTCAGCATCCCCCTGTGGTGCCCTCTTCTCATCGGTGACTTTGTTATGTCTGGAGGTCTGTGTCGTGTCTCTGTTCTCACTTTCTCATAACTTTGTGCATCAACATGACTTCACTAAAAACTTCTCCAGCTTGATTCTTTACATTCTGGAAGGGTTGCATAAAATCCATTGGAGGATTTCAAAATTAAAAGGGTTCATAAGAAGAAAAGAGATGCATCTCAGAAAGTGATGGAGGTGACTGTTTAGAGGCAGGTCAACATAAGCAAAAGTATCACAAAACCACATTTTTCTTGTCTTGGTATTTGGAAAGAAAGGCACTTTACTAAAGGGAAAATAAACAAATACATAGTTATTGGTTAGTCAAATTCCAGAGAGCCTGCTAGACAAAGGCAGAGTGCTCCCACTAGGGAACCAGTTGGAGAATTCTTTCATGAGCATAACAAACATAGCTCAAAAGGGGCATCCTGGCAGAATTTAATGTTAGAGGTGCTGACTGGGTTAGTTCTTCAAGCACTTTACTCAGTACAGTAGTTGGAAGGCTTCAAAAACTCTCTTAGCAATCCTACTCATTTTCCTCTCCATGAAACATAAGCCTTTGCAGCTCGTCTCTCCATGAGATGAGACTAAAGGGCTTGACCAGCCAAATGACAGCATGGTGTAATGGAGAGAACACAGGTTGTAGAGTCCAAAGAGCTGGATTAGAATTCTAGCTCTGCTATTCGGTTTTTAACTGGGTCATTTTGTGAAAGTCATTTCATCTCCCTGAGCTTGAATTTCCTCATCTGTACACTGACAGAGTGGGACTAGCTGATCTCTAAGGACCCTTTTAGCACTAAATTATATGAGCCTGTGTTGTTACCTGAGCCAGGGCTTGAGGTTGGGGGGAAAACAGAGTGATCATAGTGGGTTCCACATCACTTCTCACCATGCCTCCTCTATACATTTCTGAGGGAGGGAAAGAGAAAGAAGGAAAGAGGACAAAATTGGAAAAGAGAAGGGGTGAGATGTGGAAAGTACAGTATTCCCAAGCAGGGAGATAAGGAGCTGAAGCTATGGAAAGAATCATCAATGTTTTAACAGAAGGTTATACTTTTTAAAGAACAGGTGATCCTAAAAGGTTTTTTTTTTCCTCCAATTTTTGGCATGATTTTGCTAGACATAGAGATCATTTCTTGGCCCCAGAAGAATACGTCTCCTCTTTTCAAAGAGGAGTCAAGAGAACATTAGGATTCACTTTATAGACATTCATCAAACAATGAACCTGCCTGAAGGACACTGCACAGATCAGAAACTAGCTGGGTTTGCTGGCTTGGGAATGGGAAAGCAAAAGACTGAACTACTTCTTCTGATTTTCAAGACTTTTAGAGTATGAGGTGTGTTAATATGTGAGGCAGATCCCCGAAGAGAAGAGTCGTGATAGCGAAGACCAGGTGGGTAATTAGAGAAATCACAGCTCAAAGACCCAAGGACATTCACTGATTATTCCTTCAGGATAAGAAATGGAACCAAATCTTCTTAATTATTTACCTAGAACTTTAGCTGGTGATATTTGGGGGCATTACTAGAAGCAATTATTTGACAAAATGCTATCCCCATTGTAGAGATGGGAAAACTGGGACACAGAGAGACTAATTACACGCATTGAGTCCTTTTCTTCCAAGGAGATCAAAATAGCCCATCTGAGCAAGGGCCGCTGAGGCACCACCTCTGCCCAGAGGTAAAGTTAAAGTGGAAAAGTTCATTGTCTTTTTGTGCTAAAGCGAAAACTATGAGACGACTTTTTTCCCTAAAGACAATGCCTAGTCCCTTGGTGCTTAGACTCTTCACTAACAAATAGACAAACCTTAAAAGTCAAAACCCTGTATATTTTTAAACCCCTGAGAGAACAGAAAAGTATAGCTGGAGAAATCTCAGGCTGTTGCTGTTGTCTTCTCAGTGAAACAACTCTTTTTAGTTAGTCTCACCGGGCTTGGAGTCAGGAAGGCCTCAGTTCAAATCTGGCCTCAGATATTTGCTAACCTGATTGCCTTGGTTTCTTTGACCAGAAAATGGGGATCATAATGGCACCTGTCTCCCAAGGTGGTTGTGAAGATCAAGTAAGATAATATTCGTAAAGAGTTTAGCACAGTGCCTGGCACAATAAAAGTAGGGGCTTCATAAATTCTTGTTTCCTTCTAATCTTCCTTCCCGAGCCAGAGATCCGGAGACTGATATTCTGCCCCCTAAGAAGCTGTTTTTGTCACTTCCCTTCTCAGGGCTTAGACTACCAGGTGATCTCTGAAGGTCCCTTCCAGCTTCCCCCCAATCCCCCTCCCACCTGGGCCATGAACCAAAGAACTACCCTGGGCCTAGGTCTAATTTGGTCCTTTTCTTTCTACCACTGGATTCCTCCTCATCAGGCTTTCCTAGAATCCTAGACTATCACAATGCACCTTGGGAAGATGCATTCTGGTGGGTGAGCCCTTCCCTAATATTTCAATGGCATCCATTTGGTCCAGTGGCTACAACTCTGGATTCCTTTCAGTTGCTTAGCTTTTGCCACTCAGCAAGGGTAGCCAATCAGATCATAAACTTGGTATCTAGAGTAAAAAACTAATAACCTCCAAGAAAGACTTGATAATGAGGCAGTGTGGTAGAATGGGAAGCATCAGGAGAGACCTCCAATACTTCACCTAGCTATGTGACCCCTGTCGCTTTACCTCTGTGAGCCTCAGTTTCCTCATCCGCAAAATTTGGCTAGGAATACTTGATAGAGGGGAGGGGGAGGGTCCAATGAGGTAGAGTGTGACTAGCCTCGGGAAGCCTTAAAACATGATATATATGTCGCCTAATGTTATTTGCTTATTGAAATGTTCAGGCTCTGAGAATGGGAACTGGTTAGCCTGGGAGAGTGAGGTTTCTTTTGAGGTTAGATAATATTAGGCCAGGCCAGATGACACAATCGTACTTAATCGCGACATTCAAACCAATCAGATTAGCATTCTCTCTGAACAAAATGAGCATGAGAATAGGCTGGAACCAGGGGTCAGCTCTCCGCGCAAGGCTCCTTTCAGCCTGGGAAATGCTTTTATGCTTTTCTGTTGCAATTTCTGAGGAGAATAAAAAGGTTTCCGTGCAGCTGTGAAAAATAAGCCACTGAGAGAATTGGAGGCAATCTCACTTTTCATCAAGTGTTCTCTGCAGTGGGCATTAAATCCTCTCTCCCCTTTCTCTCATTAGGTCTTGATTACCATGCCAGCTGTCTAAGAGAACACACTATTCAGTGATAAAGGATGCCAGTGGAGAAGCTGTGGTCCATTGGCAACTTTAAAATGTTTCTTTTGGGATCTGGAGCAGGGTGGGTAGCAGAAAGAATGACAACTTCCCGTGTTGCTGGGTTTTCCTGGTCTCTCTCTGGTCCCTAACATTTCTTTGTTTTCTTCTTCCCCTATCAGAGAGAGCTATCAGACCTTGCTTCTCATCCTCCTAAGGTCCAATGACTAATACTTACTGGCCTCCAAGCACTCCTCTCATACGACTGGATGTCCCCTCATGAGTTACCCTAAGCAGCAGGAAAATGACTAAGGGTTCCTAAGCCACATTTTGGTTCCAAAGCTCATCTAACGGACCAAGACCTAGATTGCAAATGAGATGTCATGTAATATGAATTCTATTTCTTAGTCAGCCACTGTCACTAACTCTGTGCCTCAGTTTCTCTGTTTAGTTCTTTCACTTGTCTTTACCATTGAAGCAGCAGATACATAAGAATGGTGCTTTACCATATGATGCATTTCAAAAATAAAGGTGACTTTTTAGGAATGGTCTTTGTATTTCAGCAAATGCAAGTGGGATTTCAGAATCACAAAGTGTTCAAGCTAGAAACGATCTCAGGAAGGAAGCGAGTCATGCCAATACAATGTCATGGAGGACAAGGAGGTATAGAGGAGGAGGACAGAAAAGCCAACCCCCCCAGCCTCCTCCTGCCAAACCCAAACAACCAAATACTGGATCTGGCAATGACCTTGTAGAGGACTGTTTCTTTATAGTGGAAGGGTCAGAAACTAGTGGTTGAGGTAGGCTGAGTAACGTGTGGCAGTGGAAGCAGTTTGGATTGTTCTTTCTGGGAGTTTGGCAGTGAAAGGGAGGAGAGAGACGGGATGATAGCTTGAAGGGGAGCCAGGATCAAGGGAAGGTGGGTTAGCTGACTGGTGTCATTGTTGTCATTTTTACAGGATAAAGGAGAATGAAACTTGTTTATAGACTAAGGGGGGAAAAGACCCATGGGCAAGGAGAGAGCGCAGACTGCAGATGAAGGGAGGCTGAATTATGTAGCATGCTCCCAGGACAGAAGGGAAGAACTAGGCTCTAGGGTCTTAGCAGTGGGGCTCCTTTTAGTGAGAAGAAGGCCACCTCTACCTCTGAGACAACAGAGAAGAAAGAAAGGACAAGAGGCCACTGAGAGGATTAGATGAGTGCAACTGAATAAGTTCACCGAAATCAGTCTCAACAGTTTCAGTAGAGTAGAAGGGAAGACTATCTGCTGATAGTGAAGGGATGTGGGGAGAGGGGGTTAGCAATAAGAGGAGAAGCCCAAGGGCTCTCGAGCCAACTTTGGGAGGCAAGTAAGGTATTTCTGTGTAGCAGAGAGGGCCCAGGGAGCAGAAATTTATATTGAACCCAGTTCTGGAGATTTCTGTATTTTTTTCCAGCAGCTTTTGGCACCTCAGGAAATAGGAGCAGAGGAGGCAGATGGCAGAATCCCAGGGCTGAGGGTTAGCAGGGCACAAATATGAAAAGGTCCAGAGGACAAGGAATTTAGGGCTGGAGGAGGGAGCATGCTAAAGCAGCTGATCATAAGGTCAAGACTGGTTAGAAAGGAAAGTAAGGCAGACCTGGTTTGATAGACAGGGAGAGCCAGGAAGAATCAAAAGGCCAAAGGTTACTATTCAGGCAAGGAACAGGGATGGAAGGAGTAAAGGAGTAGAAAATGTTGAAGGAGAAGAGATTGTGGTAAGGGTCTGGAATTCCAGAACTCAGGATTTGTAAGAGAACTTAGAGGCCATCAAGTCCAATCTCTTCATTTTATAGCAGAACAATCTGAGACAAAAAGAAGTTAAATGACTAGCCCAGGATGACCCAGCTAGTAAGTGTTTAACATGGGATTTGAACCCAAGTCTTCCTGAATCCAAGTCCAGCATTCTATCTACTACTCTATAGTGCCTTGAAGGTGGTGCATTTTAAAGGATGGTGAAGCCTAAGGTATGGCCATCCTATTGGGTGGTTGAAGTCAAGTAGAGAAAGAGGTCATAGAAATTGAGAGGTCAAAAAAGATTGAAGATGTGGTGTTGGAGGGCCCATGAGTGTGACTAACTAAATCTCTGAGGGGGATGGCCAAGGAGGGGGTGGCTAGCTAAATCTCTGAGGGAGATGGCCAGGGAGGGGGTGGCTAGCTAAATCTCTGAAGGGTTGGCCGGGGTGGGGGGTGGGGGGTGCCAAAATCATAGCAAAAGGTTGGACAGTAACTAGGTGAATGACAGCAACAAAGATCAGGAGAGGGTGAGACAGTCAGATGACATGGACTCCAGAAAAGGCTGGTGGGTGCTGGTAGCAAGTGGGGACTACTAGATAAGAAAGTGCTAGAAGGAAGAAAGGAGCACCTCTAGGCATAGGAGAAAATACAAGGTGTCTCAAAATGTTCAGTACATCTTCTGGGGTTCCTTATGCCTTGAAAGGTTATCAGAACAGAGCTCTTTTTTTTTCTGTTTGAAGTCAAATGAAACACAGTGTCCTTAAACAAATATTCTAGGGATATTTAAAATATCTGACTTGATTTGATGGTTCTGCTGGTCATAGGATCAGGGACCCAGGGCAGGACTGTTTCCATGATACCATTACTAGTTTTCAGCACGGTGGGTTTTTGATGTCATATATTTGATCACATTTCCAAAAAGAATCAAAACAATTATTTCCTTAGTTCTGATAAAAAGCCTGTGGCAAGAAGCAAAAATTCCAAATTTGGGCTAAGTTTAGACGAAAATATATTCCTTCTTGCGGCCTAATGTAGAAGGAAGTGTAAGAAGAGACATTTAAAGAAATCAATTTCTGTTTAAAGGCTTAACAAAATGTATGGACCTTAAGTGCAAATGCTGAAAACCAAGTCAAATAACCACTGAAAACCAGCCCTTTGTCAAGGCTATTTATTAGGAGATGCAGTAAGCAGAGTACCTTGAGAGCTTCCTTCAGATAAACAGATGGATACTTCATCATTTCTGTCGTTATCCTCCACTACCTCAGGCCCAGTTTCCTCTCCTGATGCTAGTGCAGACAAAGGGCCCGACTCCGGCTGCTCCGAGAAGTCAGCAGGGCCGCCTCTGGGAGGTGGAACTTCAATCCCCATTAAACGATATTTTCTTCTTCGATTCCCAATCCAAGTCTTTATAAGGGAGATACAATGAAAACTTTTGAACACATAGATACCTCATTAGTTCTGAGAATGAAGAGAAAGGAAAGGCTCTGAGTAAAACAAAGTGGGTTTTTTATTCAAATGAGAAATATAAAAAAGCAAAATACATTGAATAACAACTAGCTCTATTCGCCTTTAAATAACACAAAGAGCTCTCCTCACAACCATCCTGAGAAGGAGTTTGGTTGTTGTTGTCTTACTGTGAAGTATGAGCAAAACAGCTCAGCTGCAAGATCATATTTATTTAAAACACCCACAATGCCAAGCAAGATGGAGTTCATTACTTTTTTTTTCCCAGAGAAAATAATCCACCACATCTTTCAAAAGAAAAACAGATTGGTTGGGTTCCCAAAGGAACTGGGCATGTAGCTATAACTAAAGCTTATGTCCCATTTCCAATCTTACTTTTCCTAGGCGAAAATCTGCCTTATTGACTTTCATCCTTTCCCTATCATCAGGTCAGTGCTTCAAGTAGCTTACAAATCCAGGTTTATTGGATTGATAACTAATCTGCATCTCAAGTTCCTCATATAATTTACACCATGTTCATTTTTGTGGCTAGAATTTGTGGCCTCACTGGTCTGGTCAACGTCATTCTGCAAAACTCAAGTTGAATTATTGTTTCTTTTTTTTCCCCCTCGTAAAGATATCTCTGAAATAGTACAGAAAACTAATCAATGCAATGCAATGATTTCCTGCCCGATTTGAATACAGTTAAACAGCTAGTATCAACGAGGCTTTATGGAGGGCTATCGCTGTGGAGGAAATGGCCTCCAGCACTAGAATTGGATATCCCTCCCAGCTTAAAGATTCTTGGATGTCCTCTAAGACCATCCTCTACAATTTTATAGATGTAGAAAGGGTCTAGAGAGCAGAGGTGGCTAGCCCTAGGTCACATAGTCTATTCATACCACAGGTTGGTTCCCCAGGCCTCCCACCAAGTCAGGGTCCTTGCCATGGTATCATACTACTCCCCATTCTCAAAACAATGCCTCTTCTATTTGTACCATTTTAGGGACAAAACTAATACAACATAAGAAGAAAAACCAAAGACTAACACCAGGAAGACAGATTCGTTTTCATTTTTGCCTGTGTATTTTCCCTTCAAATTCAGGAAATGTAGTCTCTCGAATGTATTCAGTATTCAATACTAAATATACACTCTGAAACACATGGATTGTTTTTGTGAAGTCCCAAGTGAAAATTACCCCATAGGAAAGAAAAATATTTATGTATATTAATTTTCCTGGCTTTGCTAACTTCTCCCCTAGGAGAAATACTCGTTTAAACAGTAGAATTCCATTTAAATTCCCCATTACATTGTCTCTGTGAAAAAGTACTGTTACACTTCAGAAAACTTAGAAGCTGGAACTTCTTACCACAACCCCATTAAATTGTCATGCACTTCCTATATTTCCTAACTGAATATTGGTGCTTATCAAGTAATAACAAAAAAGGTTTCCTTTTGTTTTATGATATGATCCATGGATACCCAGGAAAAACCATGGTAGGGACAGAAGAGGGAAGATGTGGTCTCTCAAAGAGATTCCTAAGCTTGCTTGAGTTATACTGGGTGGGAAGGAGCTAAGAGTTAGGAAAGAAAAAGGGTCCTGTGGCCCACAAGCCCAAGATGCTCCCCAACTCAATTTTTCTGGGGGTTGTGTATGCATCAGCTGCATGTGGACAAAAGGCAAAATATTCCTTAGGATGAACATGAGGCTTCGGTGTCATTTTTATTACATGTGGGAGCTAAGTTTTCTTCTGTGGAGACACATCTTTCAAATTATAATAGAAGGCACTGGGAAAATATGATTCTATAAAAACAGATATAATCCAAGTTGTCTTGTGCAGTATTACAGGATCACAAAATCATTGAACTGGAAGGGACCTCAGAGGTCACCTATCTACCATCCCACTCCAAGAGGGAATCCCTTCTACGTCTACATTGAAAAGATCACCTTCTTTTCTTTGCTTGAATACTTCCAGTGATAGAGGGCTCCCTACTTTGCGAGGCAGCTCATTCCGTTGTTGAAAAGTTCTATCTGAAATTTCTTTCTTATAATGAGCCAAGCCAGACTTCCCCATATCCCCAAGTCCTAGCTTTGCCTTCTGGAGCAAAAGAAAATAAGCCTACTCTCTTTTATATGTGAATCCTTCAAGCATTTGAAGATGGCAAATATGTCTTCCTTAACTTGTCTCTTTTCTAGGCCAGACACTCCCAGTTCCTTCAACTGTTCTCAGACAAGATGGTTCCCAGATCCCTTGCCATCCCGTATTATACACAAATCTTGCAGGTTGATTAACTTAGTGGGTTATATTATAGCCCATCGACCCCGCACTCCCCCCTCCCACTCTGCTCCCCCAATCATCTGAAAATGCTGGGCAGGATACTCAACCTTTGGTGCTCTTTCCTTGGAGAGAAACATATACTGAGAGCAGCAGAAAGGACTGTGGTCTGGGAATCAGGCTACTTAAACTCAGTCCTGGCTCTGCCCCCAACTAGCTGTGTGTCTTTGGGCAAATCACTGCATGTCCCTGGGCCTTGGTTTCCTCATCTGTAACAGGCAAGGATTAGACCAGATTATCTCTCACCATCTTTCTAGCTCCCAGTCACTAAGACCAGATAACAGAGATTGCTGTATGTACTTTGAGCCTAACTCTTCAGGAATATATCTAACTTAAAGCCAAAGTAAAGCTGCATTACAAGCAAAAAGCTACTCTTCTTTTTAAAGTGATTTCAAATAAATCCTGTTACTCTGAAAGTAAATACCATGCAAAACAATGAAAAACAAATCTGCTTTCCAAGAAGTTTATTTCAATCTGGAAAAAAAATCACTTTGACAGTGTTTTGCCAACATTCAAACATATGTCCATCATTCAAGTGCTTGGGGTACATGAGGGTGCATTTGGATATCGATCCACTCTGACCTTGACCCGCATGGGAGAGCTCCTCCACTAAACTCCACAAACCATGAGAGATCTTAGGGTCCCTGGCATATCGCTCAGCACCCTGCATACAATAGGTGGACCTGCTGATGAGAATCAAGCTGTACGTTAAAGGGCCCATCAAAGAACCAAACAAAAATAACACACAAGACCAGGAGAGAAAGGTCCTGAGACTTCCCCCTTGGACCCTTTAGAGACAAAGGTCAAGAGGCAAAATAGGAAAAAAACAAGCTCCGACAATTCTTCCCCCCTTCCCACCAATCACGAGCCAAAGACCACAGAGTGAGGTACAAGTGGTTCATTTTACTTACCCACAGCTGAAAACAAGTCAGCTCAATGTTACTGTGGACATTTTTTTTTTCACAGTACAATTTATTTATTTTTAGTTTTCAACATTCACTTCCACAAGATTTTGAGTTCCAAATTTTCTCCCCATCTCGTCCCTCCCCCACCCCAAGATGGCGTGAATTCTGAATACCTCTTCCTCTAATCTGCCCTCTCTTCTATCTCTACCCCACTTCTCTTATTCCCTTTCCCTTCTATTTTCCTGTAGGGCAGGATAGATTTCTATACCCCATTGCCTGCATATCTTATTATCCAGTTGCAGGTGAAAACAATTTTTAACATTTGTTCTCAAAACTTTGGGCTCCAAATTTTCTCCCTTTCTCCCTTCCCATGCACTGTCAATGAGAAGGCAAGTAACTCAATACAGGTTATACATGTGTAGTCATGCAAAACACTTCCATAGTAGTCATGTTGTGAAAAACTAGCTATATTTCCCTTAATTCTATCCTTCCCCCTGTTTATTCTATTCTCTCTTTTGACCCTGTCCCTCCTCAGAAGGGACTTCTGATTACCCCCTCCCCCAATCTGCCCTCCTCTCTATCATTCCCCCCAATCTCTTATCCCCTTCCCCCCTATTTTCCTGTAGGGTAAGACAGATTTCCTTACCCAACTGAGTGTATATGTTATTCCCTCCTTAAGCCAAATCCAATGAGAATAAGATTCACTCATTCCCTCTTTCCTTCCCCTGCTTCCTCTCCACTGCAAAATCCTTTTCTTTGTCTATTTTATGTGGGATAATTTGCCCCATTATACCTTTCCCTTTCTCCTTCTCCCAGTATAACCTTCTCTCACCCCTTAATTTTATTCTCTAGATATCACCCCTTCATCTTCAACTTACCCTGTGCTCGCTCTCGCTCTCTCTCCCCCCATATATATAGATATAGATATAGACAGATATAGATACACATATAATTTTTTCCCTCCAACTATCCTAATACTGACAAAGGTCTCATGAATTACAAATATCATCTTTCCATGTAGGAATGTAAACAGTTCAACCTTAATAAGTCCCTTATGATTTCTCTTTCCTGTTTACCTCTTCATACTTCTCTTGAGTCTTGCATTTGAAAACTGAATTTTCTATTCAGCTCTGGTCTTTTCCTCAAGAATGCTTGAAAGTCCTCTATTTCTCTGAATTTCCATTTTCCCCCTGAAGGATTATACTCAGTTTTGCTGGGTAAGTGATTCTTGGCTGTAATCCTATTTCCTTTGACCTCCAGAATATTATATTCCAAGCCCTCTGGTCCCTTAGTGTAGAAGCTGCTAGATCTTGTGTTATCCTGATTGTGTTTCCACAATACTTGGATTGTTTCTTTCTGGCTGCTTGCAATATTTTCTCATTGACTTGGGAACTCTGGAATTTGGCTACAATATTCCTAGGAGTTTTCCTTTGGGGATCTCTTTCAGGAGGTGATTGGTGGATTCTTTCAATTTCTATTTTACCCTCTGGTTCTAGAATATCAGGGCAGTTTTCCTTGATAATTTCTTGAAAGATGATGTCTAGGTTCTTTTTTTGATCTTGGCTTTCAGGCAGTACAATAATTTTTAAATTATCTCTCTTGGATCTTATTTTTCACGTCAGCTGTTTTTCCAATGAGATATTTCACACTACCATCTTTTTTTCATTCTTTTGGTTTTTGTTTTACAATGTCTTGATTTCTCATAAAGTCACTAGCTTC